TTTTGTTGGGAGTCGATTTTGCAAAAAAACAGCAGTGTTTGCTGCTTCTGCCCAGAATTGCTTTGGTAAGTTCATTTCATGTAGCATGCATCGAGTCATCTCCAATATGAATCTATTTCTTCTCTCACAAACACCATTTTGTTGTGGAGTGTATGGGGTTGTTAGCTGATGTTGAATGCATGCTTCCTCACAAAACTGGTTGAATACTTCAGATGTATATTCCTTGCCATTGTCTGATCTGAGAATCTGAATTGTACATCCACTCTCATTCTCAACTCTGGCTTTGAAGCTCCAGAAAACCCGTGCTACCTCTGATTTGTGCTTCAGAAAGAATATCCAACACATCCTTGTGAAATCATCGATAAATGCAACGTAGTAGAGACTGCCCTTCAAAGAAGGTGTTCTTTGAGGGCCTGCAATGTCTGTATGAACCAATTGCAACTTTCTTGAAGCTCTCCAAGCCACCTTAGGAAACGGTTTTCTGCTTTGCTTACCTAACTGACATGCCTTGCAATTTGGTAAGTGATCATCAAACTCAGGTAGATCACTTGTCATTTGTTTTGCTTTCATTTGCAACAAGCCTTGATGGTGATAATGCCCAAGTCTCTTGTGCCAAACCTCAGTGACATTTTCTTTGATTAAAAAAATAGCTTGCTCCTCTTCCAGTGGATTAAGTGTGAAGCTTTTCCCTTTCATTTTTACCTTAAACATGTCTTGACCGGTTGCATCTTTAATTAGGCAATGCTTGTCTTTAAAAGTAACTTTGAAACCTCTCTCAATTAGTTGGCCAACACTTAACAAATTTTGATCAATTTCAGGAACATAAAGTACATCAGAGATCAACTTTGTACCTGAACAACTTGGTATTGCAACAATGCCACGTCCTTTCACTGCTATGAATTCTCCATTTCCAATTCTGACTTTGGAGGTTCCAGCAGGCTTCAAGTCCATGAAAAGTTCCCTATCGTGAGTCATGTGATTTGTACAGCCATTGTCAATTAGCCAGCATTCACTCAAGCCACTGCTTAGAAACATGTTGCAACAAAAAGCTGATCTTCCTCCTCTTCTTCTTCAACAACTTGAGCTTCTACCTCCTGTTACTGATTTTTACTCTTACAAACTATAGCTTCATGTCCAAGTTGATTGTATTTAGTGCATTTTGCATCTGGTCTATTCCAACACTTGAAGGGTGAATGACCTTTCTTACTACAGTGCTTGCATGAAGGATAATTTCCCTTCGAGTTTCCTGCCCTGCCTTTGTTGTAGTTGTTTGGGGTATTTTCTCCATTTGTAGGCTGACTCTTCTTGTATTTCTTCTTCTTGTTCCTACCGAAATCATTATATTTGGCTGGCAGTGCACCTTCGGTTACTCCATCTTCTCTTATGAATTTTCGTTGCTCTTGTGCCTGCAAGGCATTCAATAATTCTGCCAAGGTAATCTTGGACAGATCCTTAGTATTTTCTAAGGTTGTTGTTGTTGCCTCAAATCTCTCAACCACGGTCACAAGAATTTTTTCAACAATTCTTGAGTCATTAAACTCAGAGCCAAGCAATCTTACCCTGTTTGCTAAGCTTAGAAGCCTTTCAGAGTAGTCTTTGATAGACTCTGGTTCTTTCATCCTTTGCAACTCGAAATCTCTGATGAGATTAGCACTTTCATGCCTCTGATTCATTCATCTCCTTCATATTCGACCTTGAGATAGTCCCAGATAGCTTTGGCTGACTTTAGAGACATAATTCAAGTGAATATGCTCGAAGAAACAGCAGCAAACAAACAGGCCTTTGCCTTTGATTTCTTTGTTTTTCTATCCTTGTGATTTTTAATTTGAGCCATCATGGGATTGTTTGGTAGAGGAGGAATTTCATAGTCCTCTTCCACTGCTTCCCAGATATCCAAGGCTTCCAGATAAGTTTCCATCCTTACAGCCCAGATTTGATAATTTTCACCGTCGAAAACTGGAGGTACGATCGATGAAAAACTGGTTTCTGCGTCCATGGCAACCACTTGGATTCAATCTTAAAACACTTACGGTCCCTTAAGAAGAGGGCTCTGATACTAATTGTTGTCAATGTAAACTGAAAACAAAGAAATCAATTGTTATAGTGAATGAAAGAACGGAAACAGAGAACTGGTGAATGAAAGAACGAAGGATAATTTCTGATGAAGTGCATTTTTATTTCTTCTCAGAACTACTATTTAAATAAGAAAACATAACTAACCACTAACATCATGAATCCTAGAGTTATGCCACGACACTACAACTGAAGCAACAAACTCCTAAAAACTATGAACTAAACCTTGAAACATTCAAATTAAATAATCAACAGCTTTAATAACGTGGCAGCTATCCTAAACATTATTTCTAACAGATTTGTACATGGTTTATTTGTGCCCCCTTAATCTAAAATGTCTGCGTCTGCCCTTGTCCATGGTAGAATCCTTTCACAGACACTGACGCTAATAGGACAACATTCTTGCATTGCTACAGAGTAGGAAAAGGCAAATATGCGCTTATGGTATCAAGTGGACTTGTTACTTTTTAGCTAATTTGTTTTAAAAAGTGTTAAAAAGTCTTTGTAATTACACTCTCTATTTCTCTTAACAGAGATGTTATTAGTTGGGCTGTAGCCATGTGATTAATTGCTAGTTGTCAAACACATTTTAACTGATATTATTTTGACTTTAATTTTGTTTGATGTGTGAATGTTTATTATCATTTTTATCCTTATTTTCAATTATTTGATCATCAATTGAATTGCTAATAAATTTTATTGTTATCGAGAGAGACGATAGAATTTAAGCACAATATAATAAACATTTTAAAGTTCGATAGATGATAGAAACATACATTTATGCTTTATATGGTTTCAAAAGGGGTTCTATCACTTCTTAATGTATTTATGTATTTGCATCTTTCATCAAGCGACAAAAGGGTCACATGATGGAATATACTTGATCTCTAAATTAAGAACATTGAACAACATGAATAATTTCAAACTATCATTTTAATTGTTACACTAAAAATGGAATAAGCCATGCATATCGAAGTTTTGCACAACTTAATCATGAACATTTACTCTTTTAATAATTTTATCGAACACATCTAGACAAGTTCCAATTTCATCTTCTTGGATTCATGGTCATGGGTGGATTGGGGAGAAGGGGGGTCACGTAACCCTTCAACTTTTGAGATTTTTTTTTTATAAAGTCTGTTTGGTATCGATTGAAATCTAAATTAAAGTTAAAAATTAATTTTAATAATATATTTCATGGAATCGATAAATGTTTAGTTTTTATTAAAATTTATTAGAAAAATGATTTTAATCTCTACCAAATAGGAGCAAAATCACAATAAATTTGAATTTTTCTCTTACTTTCTTTTACTCTTTTCTTCACTCCTTTTAATAAAATCTTAACCCTTCTATTTTTTTAAAATTTGTATATAATTTCTCTACAAATTATCACATTTACTTTACTTACCAATCAAATTTTCAAATAATTAGAACCTAAATTTGTATTTTCTCCTATCAAACTATATAGAATGTGTCTGAACTCATTATATCCAATTTGACTTATATTTAATGAATTATGTTTATTTGATTGATTATTAGTTATATGCTTTTCTTTTTTATTACTTGAATTGATTGTTTATATCAAATACATTATAAGACTTTTAAATGTAAATATGTATTTTCTTGTGATGAACAAAATATTAATAAAATGACTATTCGAAATCAAATGAATGAAAATGATTAGCAAAATATTATTGAAGAAATGTTTTTTTAAATGTAAATTTGCATTGTTTCAAATCAAATATGAATTATTCAAAAATTAAGAACAAAATATTCGATTTGTACAGGTTTGATTGTGCCCTCTAATCTAAAATGTCTGCGTCCACCCCTGTCCATGGTAGAATCCTTTCACAGACACAGAAACTAATACAACAACATTCTTGCATTGCTACAGAGTAGGAAAAGGCAAATATGTGCTTATGGTATCAAGTGGACTCGTTACATTTTAGCTAATTTGTCTAAAAAAAATTTTAAAGTCTTTGTATTTACATTCTATTTTATGTATTTTCTTGTGATGAACAAAATATTAATAAAATGACTATTCGAAATCAAATGAATGAAAATGATTAGCAAAATATTATTGAAGAAATATGTTTTTAAATGTAAATTTGCATTGTTTTAAATCAAATATGAATTATTCAAAAATTAAGAACAAAATATTCGATTTGTACAGGTTTGATTGTGCCCTCTAATCTAAAATGTCTGCGTCCACTCCTGTCCATGGTAGAATCCTTTCACAGACACAGACAGTAGACATGGACACAGACACTAATACGACAACATTCTTGCATTGCTACAGAGTAGGAAAAGGCAAATATGTGCTTATGGTATCAAGTGGACTTGTTACTTTTTAGCTAATTTGTCTAAAAATTTTTTAAAAGTCTTTGTATTTACATTCTATTTCTCTTAACAGAGATGTTATTAGTTGAGCTGTGGCCATCTGATTAGTTGCTAGTCTTCAAACACGTTTCAGCCCTTTTCATTTGTATTCCTTTTATATTCAGTTCAGTTTGAGGATAATATTGGGGGAAGCAACAGAAAATAGACTAATAGAGCTATTTTGGTCGCCAAATTCATCTACAATTTGTTTTTATTTGGATTGGCTCGAAGAAGCCAATCTCATTCTTGGCTCGCATTTGACCGTGCTCTCGACTTCTTCGTCAACAAACAAGCAATGAACGATCAGAATGGTAGTTATGTAATTTATACTGAGTTTCTTTTTTTGAAATTGATTTATACTGATAGTTATTATACTATCAACCAGCAGAATGGAAAGTTCAACAATTACAATTCTTTTAGATAGGAATACAGTAAATGAGCAAAATCACATCTGCTTGCAAGAAAATTCAACAATAACAGTATATACGCTCCAAAACAGAATTTATGGCGTACATAGTTTTAAGAACGAAACAAAACTTGTTTGATCACTAGCATGTTGATATATCCTGCCTTTTATCATGAATTTTTTCCTTCAAATCTTTAATGAATTGATCAATATTTTTCTCTGATGATCCATCTATTGCCAAAGCATTCTGCAGTATGGTTCTTACTTTCTTGATCTCCATCATTAATCCATCCCAAACTGTGTCACTCATCAAGTTGTCAATCTTCTCTTCAACTTCTTCCTTGGTAACTGATTCTCTGTCACAAAGATTAATTCCAATCTTCCAATCGTCAACCACTAATTTCCTATTAGTAGGTTGATCACTTCGTAAAGGATAACAAATCATAGGTACACCACACCATATGCTTTCCAATACAGAATTCCATCCACAATGCGTCAAAAACCCTCTAATGGACGGATGTGAAAGCACCATATTTTGATTGCACCATTGAACGACCAACCCTTGATCTCTGATTTTGTCCATGAATCCAACTGGCAAAACATCAGTATCTTCAAAGCTCACAATATCCCTTCTAACCACCCAAATAAAACTAACTTTGCTAAGGAGAAGTCCATGAGCTATTTCTTGAATTATCTGCTTACTAGTCTGAACAAGGCTTCCGAACGACAAGTACAAAACCGAACTGGGAGGGTTTGAGTCGAGCCATGCTTTAGTGTCCGTTTGAGGCCATAAATTTTGAGAAATGACTGGTTTGGTGGAGTCAGTCGAAAAATTTACAGGGCCAATTGCATAAGTTGGCAGCTTTTGGTGTAGAGCTGATATTGCCTCAAATTCTAGTTCTTGAATAGTGTTTAGCAGGACAAAATCTGCTTTCTTCACTTCGTCATCAAATGTCTTGATCACAATCTTCTGTATAATCGTTTCTATCTCAGATTCTTTAAGGAATGACATCAAGTCCCTTGTATTCATTGAAGAAACTCCGGGTATGTAATTTATATTTTCCTCAACGTTGTCTGAAAGTCAAGAAAATTACATTAGCGAGGATGAACTAATGGTGATCATGTTCCTCCCAATCTGTGTCTCACAGAAAATGGTCGGTTGAGGGATAAGTATAAAGTATGACTAGACTCCATACAGTGCAGCAATAAAAAGAGGGGGAGAGGAAGAAAAAAGACATACCTTTACAAGGAAAATGACCATTTTCTCTGAGGAGGTCCAAGTGATAACCTATAGAAAAAACTAATGCTGGCTCTGTCCAGAATGATACATTCACCAGGTTATATTTCCTGGCAATTGTTGCAGGCCAAGTATAGTAAGTATCAGCAATTAGAAAATAAGCCGACTGTGGATCAGACCGGATTATTTTTCCAACAAATTCGTCAATATGAGCTGGAAAATCTCTAATCATGCACTCCCAATACTTATCCGAGTGCTGAAATCTATCGAATTCCACAGGAAAACCATCAAAAATTGTTGTGTAACGTATATCAAGACCCGATTCACTTGCTTCAGGGAACAAATCAACTTCACTACTGGAGTGTTGGGATTTGGACAGCATTTGATGGGTGAATTCTGTATGGACAAAAGTGATGGTACAACCCTTTGAAGCAAGGCTCACAGCAAGATTCACAGTCGGGGTAATATGACCTTGAAGTGGAAGTGCAATCACGATTGCATGTGGCTTTTGACAGGAATTCGCCATATTTTTTTGCAGATTTCTGTAGTTATAAGATGGAAGGTAAATCGATTGGCTTCAAAGGTATTGGCGATTTTTATAAGTGTGAAATGATGACATTGTCAACGAATTTGAGATAGTAGAAGCAAATAAGAATTCGAAAAGATACTAGCAAACAGATGGTCAAAAATGACAGCATGTGGTACTACTAGTCAATTGCTTTCGACTTAGGATTTCGATTTTTTAATTGGTTGATATGCTATTGCTGTTGGAAAGTGACTGTGTTTTGGCGTGATTTTAAGTGGAATTTCAATTATTTTTTTTTTTGGGAAGACTAAATTTGATTCGGGTTCTTCTTAGTAAGAATTTTAAAATAATATATTTACTTGATCAAAACGTGTTGAAAAATGAAACGGATCGATATATTATATATGACACAATATGAAGTACATCGCAAACAAACAACAAGATAAAAGACAAATAATTAATTGACAGAAGAACGAAGTACTTTATTTAAAATGCAATAACTGTGGCTACACAATTATTGTATATTTCAATAATACAAAACTTGTGAAAAAGTCTAGTATTCATATGGATGCATGCCAAAACCTAGAAATATTACGAAGATAGAAACGAGATAAAAAATCAAGTGGAATAAAGGAAACAATATTTTTTTCGATAAAAAACATATGGAAAGAAAGAAAAAAATATTTTATCAAAAATCCAACATAATTTGGGCATGTGGAAAGAGGAAAAAAGTATTTTCTCAAATATCCAACCTAATTTGTGTAAAAAAAAAAAAAAATTCCAACAATCTTCACATTGACACAAATTCCGATGCAACGAACAAAACTCCAAAATTTCACTCCTAGAAAAAATAAATCCGAATGCAACGAAAAATCTGAATTCTTCAAGAAGAACAAAATTTTATTCAACACAAAAATACTCATCATCTTATCTAACACGAATACATGAACCCCAATATTAGGTTCTCCAAAAAAATTCATAAAGAATTAAAAATTGCCAAACAATGTCGAAACATACCTTGTAACATAATCAACTCTAAATGCTTTCATAGAAGGCCTGTTTAGTTTCCATACCTTTAAAAACGCTAAAAGCATCTACAACAAAATCAACATCCATGTACTTATCTCCAATGGGTCTATCTCTAACAGTTGAATACAATAGAACCACATGTAATAGTGGCAAGTGGAATTACCCATATCATCTAAACTCGATTGAGTAGTGTTCTTCAATATGAACCCTGAACCATATCCCAAATGTACAGTACCAAACCGAAATTCCACAACGGTACTAAATCTGTGCAGACTTTTTTTTTTCACAAATTCTACCCAACCTTGTAATGTATATAATCGGGACCTCTTTCACTCCCCCAATCTAACACGAACTCTTTCAAACTCTATAGACTCCACCTCCTCCAGAGAACGTATACCCTTTTGAATTAAGAGTACTCAATGAAATGAGACACTTCTTCATGTTTGGAATATGTCGAACATAATCAAGTGTTCTACATGTTCCATCCACTAGTTTCAATCCGACTCTATCAATACTAGCTACATGGCAAGGTTTATTGTTACCCATGACAATGACACATTGTGTCACCTTAATATGTTTCAAACAAATCCCTATTGGGACACATATGGAATGAATAGGCTGTATCCAAAACAACTCATCGTCAAGTTTGGATTCAGTGTCAGAAATTGTCAAAACATCTCTATAACTCAAACAGTTTTCGACTATGTTTGTCTTGTCTGAAATATTTGATTGCTTTACATGATTTGTTGTCAAATTACATTTGTTCTGAAATTTGTCGTAATCCCTCTTCACATGTCCTTTCTTCTTAAAATAATAACAAACCCGATTACTGAAATTTGACATCGACTTATCCCTTCTCTGATCACCATGAACAACAAGGCCTTCTCCATCTCCAGCCTCATATCCAACCAGATGCTTCATCTTCTCTTTTGAAAACAAAGCATTATATGCATCTTCAATGATGAGAGTATCACGATTATACAAGATCATGTCTCTAAACGAAGTAGGCAACGAACACAAAAGGATTAAGATCAAATCTTCTTCATCATACTTTACCTCTAAAGCCACCAAATTAGCAACGATCTTCTTGACCATAGCTAGATGATCTTCCAAAGACTCGCCTTCTGCCATGCGATGAAAATACAATATCTGCTTCAGATGCAATTTGCTTATCAGACTTTTAGTCATGCACAATTACTCCAACTTCAACTACAACGCAGTTGTCGTTTTTTCCTTTAAAACATCATGAAGAATATTGTAAGAAAGATGAAGATGGATATGTGAAAGTGCCTTCCGATCTTTTCGTTGTTTATCCTCTGTTGTGGGCGTTTTGTCAAATCCTAACAACACATCATCTAAATCCGTCTGCGCAAGTACATCTTGCATCTTCGTTTACCGTAACGAGAATCTTGTATTGCAATCCAAGAGCGGAATTTCAAACTTCATGGCTACCATCAATAACAAAAATCTCGAACAAATCACAACCAATAGCTCTAATACCACTTGTTGGGAAATAAAACGGATCGATGTAATATATATAACATGATATGATGTATATGATCTCAAACAAATAACAAGATAAAATGCAAATAATTAATTGGTAGATGAATGAAGTATTTTATTCAATTGACTAATATGGATAAAAATGAATATTATAATTGTGCCTACAATATTATTCTATATTTCATTAATACAAAACTTGTAAAAATAGTCTAATATTTATAGGGGTACATGCTAGGGCTGCACAAAAAAATAGCGAAATTGCAAACCGAACCAAAACTGTTAGTTCGGGTCCACCTAGACCTGCAATTTTTTTTCCTCAAACCTAACCACCGTTTCAAAATGGTTTAGTTTAGGTTTCAATTTTCAAAAACCGCATAAAACCGAACCGAACCATTTTTGAAATTTTTAATTAAAATATTAATTTTATTAACTTATAAATTTTAAAGTTTTTATTTTTTGGAAAAAAAAAAAGAACCAATTTAGCAATATAAATTCCAACTGACCCATTGAAATAATCATATAAAGTAAATTAAGTTCATCATTATTGGACGATGATTTTATAAGTCCACAACACATTGTGACCCGATATCTAATCCAAACTAAAATTAATTCCAAATCATATGAAATAAAAAAAAAATTTATTTTCAACAATCAAAATCATAATTCAACAAAACTACGACAGCAAATCATGCCCACAACTTCAAAAGCTCTAACTTAAACTCTCATTTTTCAAACATTTGACGTTTGTATGCCACTGTTGAACAAAATGCGATTCTTAGTCGCAAATCGCTAGTCACCTTTTGCTTGTTAGTCTGCTAATTTCTACCCGAATCACCCATTTATCTATTCTCTCTTGATAAGTCTTAGATTCATATTCAAGTCATTTTTTCATTGTTCTTTCTTTTATTTGTTGTTTTTGAACTTATTATACACTTGAAAGCTGTGATTTGGATTAAAAAAAATAATTGTTTGTGTGCATAGGTGATTAATGAACTTGTTTGTGATTTAGAAAGAACGAAGGATAAAATGTATTGATTGTGTGAAAATATTAAAGTTTCCTAACTAGTACTACTACAATCTATATTCTCAAAGTCCTTAGAGAACCAATAAATCTGAACTCTGTCATTCTTTGTACATTTAAACATATTATGTTCAATCCTTATTTTTCATCTCACTAGTAGGGGTGAAAAATGTTTTAACCAAATTATTACAGCAGAATGTGACCTTGTCTTTTCCAACTGCTATATGATAATATGAAAGGCAAACAAGAAAATGTAAATAAAAAAGAAGAAATATATATTAATTCTATTAACATTTTTTAGCAACCAACTTTGAAAATAATTTATTCACGAGAGGGAAATATGAATGTAATTTAACATTTAACATTATTAGTTCTCGTTTAAACTTATGGGTTAACTTATTTTAAATATGTTATGATAATGTTGATAGGTAAACTGCGGATTAAAACCGAACCAACCCACAATTTATGGTTTGGTTTGGTTTGATTCGAAAAATAAAATGGTTTGGTTTGGTTTGAAAAAATTTCAAATCGCATAAAATGGTTTGAGTTGAAAATATGACACAAACCGCCCAAACCGAACCATGTTCACCCCTAGTGCATGCCAAATCCTAAAAATAACAAAGATGAAAATAAGATACAAAATTGCGTGAAATAAAGGAAATAATATTTTCTAATTAAAAACATGTGGAAAGAAGGAAAAAAAAAAATTCTCAAAAATTCAACCTATTTGGGTAAAAAAAACCCGACTAAATGATGCTCAAGTGAGTGAGAAATTGAAGTTCAAAGTATACCATTGCGATTGGTTTAGGTGTTGAGGAAAAGAAAAATTTTAGCTTGTCAAACAAACGGAAAATGATAAAGCAATGACTACTTTATATATGAACATATTTTATGGAAGTGTATACTTGTGTAAAATAAAGGTTATCTCCACATGCACGTGTAGAGAGTGCAAATCACAAACTGGACTAGCGCATCTGTAGAAACTTGGTGCTCAATTTATATGAGATATTTCACTATATCCTAAAGGACAAACACTCAATTTCCTATTTGTTCTTACAAAAGTAGCTTAGACTGGTGTACGTTATTTTCTTCCCAGGCAAGATTTAAAAATTATAAAGTTTGATTACTCTGATGATGTTTTGCACTTTCCGTTCCCTTTTGGTTAAGCTGTGGAATTCTTTTCTGATTTGGGTACAACCGTGTTCTATTGTTTGCTTATAAAGTCGAAGAAGAGTGCGTAAGGAATCAGAGTCTTTCCTTCTCTATGTTTACTCGATATAAAGCTTTGCTTGTACTTTCTCAATAAAAAGGTTGGTATCACCAAATTTCAGCTGGCTTGACATCGTCTTTATTAGTATGTTTGCTATCTTATTTATATCATGTCTATAAAACTCCAAGATTTCAACAAAATTATGCAACATTAAATCGAGCCGTATATTTTGTTACC